GTCTGTCTGTCTGTCTGTCTGTCTGTCTGTCTGTCTGTCTGTCTGTCTGTCTGTCTGTCTGTCTGTCTGTCTGTCTGTCTGTCTGTCTGTCTGTTTTTATTCATTGACTTATTTTTTCTCACTTAAATTTCTTTTCAGGTCTACTAAATATTGTAAATACCTAAAGAATTCTGTCTTATCCAGATGTTTCTGAACTGTCAACATCTATTTATTGTGATTATAGTTTTCTTTTCCTTTTTTCTCTTTKCTTATTTCGTTTTGATCAATGCAAATGCTTTGTCAATTACTATGTGATGTGTGCTGATGACCACTTGACTAGGTCACCCTTGTAAAAGAGATCTCAGTCTCAATGGGCTCTACCTGGTTAAATAAAGGTGACTGATTGATTGATTGATTGATTGATCCATTTTAAATACACTAACCTCACTCCTTTGTAACAACTAAGGCAAAAATGTAATTAATTCAGAAAATCTTTTCAGGACCCCACCTTGTTTCAGGACACCACTTTGGGTCCCGACCCCAACTTTGGGAAARACTGGCCTAAATAGTGCAAAGGGGTCTCTAATTCAAAGCTATGGGCATCACACAGACCATTTTCATGGAGTCCCATCACCATTTTGTGGTGGTTGAGCAGATTGTTCCCAGTTAGGACTCCAACCAGTGTACTTAAGAGTTTTCCTTGAAAGGGAGATGAGAGCTTTCTCAAACCTTAGATTTGGGCCGTTAATCAGTTCCCGTGCCTGTCTACAGTCAGTCAGCTCCCTGCAGTGGATTGAGTGTTGACATCTAATCCAGGCCTATAGGGCAGTCCTGCAGACTGTTGTTGAGGTACCTACAACAGGCTCTGGTCAGAGAGTGACATGAACCTAAACATATGACCTGCCCTATTTCTCCTGTACACTCTAGTTGTTGACTATTATGTCTATTTAATCATCTGCTCATAATACCTATATACAGTGGTGGGCACCAGCCCGCTTAAGTGCAAATCCGCTAATTGCGGACCTAAATATTTGTTTGTGCTTCAGCAGTCTTAGTAATTTTTATAATTCATAAGTGGATTTGCGCTTTCTAAAATTAAAATGCAGTACCYCTAATAAATAATTATCTACCAGTCATCATTATCTTTAACAGCGGAAGGTATGACTGTCAATGAATCACAACGCACGTGATCTATCCAACAGCACCCCTCCCAGATAAACACACTTGTTGAGAAGGTATACATCCTTCCTGACTGTTGCTTTGTGTCATGGTTCTGATTTCCCACAATGCTTTGTGTCTGCTTACGTAGCAGGAAGGCAATGTTTAGAACTCCCTGTCCCAGCTAAAACAGTTAATGTTTGTAATCCGTAGTAAAATTTTGTATGTATTGATTTATTTTATTTTACAATCTGAGCTCCTTTTTAAAAAAAAAGTTTAAACGCTGGAGCTCAATACTTGACGTAATTGGTCGAAGCAATGGGGTTAGATGCAGAAATGATTTAAAGATGTTATGCTGATGAAGACTTACATCTAGTGGTCAACTGGGGGCAACTGCATAGAAAACTTTAAAATCCAAGCTCTTATTTTTGAAGTGAAGCTAGTCTCCAGTACTCCGTGCTTTCGTTTCCCGTCACAAATCAAATTCATCATGTACCCAGAATGCATCGCTTCAGTTTTCCAGTAAACAGTTTTAAAATTACTTTATTGATGCTTCTTTAATGAAAAATCTACAACAAACAAAAGAAAAAGACAAAGAAGCAGCCGAACTAGCAATCCTCAACAACTTTTTAAAGAAGCAGCCGAACTAGCAATCCTCAACAACTTTTTAAAGAAGCAGCCGAACTAGCAATCCTCAACAACTTTTTTATTTTTACACCAGGAGCCAAATTTCTGTTTCAGGAAATCACATCCCCAGCAATCGGTGGTTGTAGGAATAAGCAGTAAAAGCATTCATACACCGCTCGTTGGCAGGGTTGTGCATATATTGTACATGAATTATTGCCTGCTAGCAAGTGTAAAATTGAATTTGTGCTTTAAAATTAGCTTCCGCTAGTTTTTCTATGGCATAAGCGTTTTTGAAGTTGTGGACCTAAATATTTTCATAAGCGCTTTAGAAATTGCGGAGATAATTTTTGGATTAGCGCTGCCCACCACTGCCTACATGCATATTTTTATCCTTATTGCACACTGATCTAAAGCGCATATATTAGATTTTTGCAGACATCAAAATGAGCCTATAATATTTTTCCCTAAAATGCATGTTTGATTTGTGTTCTGTTTGTTGCCTTCATAAAAGCAGTTACAATTACACACAGTTACACACTAATCCTGCTTGACAGAGACTATTTCTCATAAGATGCACTAGATGACTGAAGTCAGGTTTATACCTGAAGCTCAAAACAGTCTTGTGGGTCAGACAATGGAAGGACACGGACAGCTGGTAAAATAAATTGGTAAAATATAATGATGTGTTTCTTTTTTGAAATTCAGCTTATCATAAAAAATAACCCTTCATCTTATACACTCTTGATACAGGAGAAAACTCAGTCCCCTTATCAATTAATCGTTAGTCGATCAATAAGATCAGTCATCTTAAATTAATTCAGTAATTGATGACTTAATCCCTAGATTGAACCATGGAGGTCTTCTTTAAAACATAAGTTTGGCGTACTGAAGGACATTTTGTGATTGATTAACCGAATTTAAGATTCAGTCTTGTATTTTACACTT